ACTGTAGCAAATTAAACTGAACTAATGGTTGCAAGAAATCTAAAGGCGAAAGAGGAACAGAATGATATTAATGTTTAGAATCACAGTTGAAAAGCATTGCAATTTTGGAGGATTAACTGAAAAATAGTCTGTAAAAATAATTAGACTTGATAAATTCTTGTCCAAATGTAGTTTGAAAAATACAGTACAAGATTAATAAGTCAGGCGTAGAGATGGTTGCGTATCTTATTGCTTGCATCTGCTGTCTATTTAATAACTTGCACGTAAAAAACAGACATTCATTACAGCCTAACATTTATTTTTCCAGAGATTTTTCCTGTGTGGAAGCAGAAAGCAATGGAGGTGATAGATTATACATGACAAGCCTGCATGTTGTTGCACAAAGAGATTCCAATCCTCAGCCTCCTCTGAGAATTGTTCAATATTCTTGACGGTATCTTATGTCTAGGATGCCTGGGATACGGCATTTTTGACGTCCTTAGTAATCAGTCAAGTCTAGCCTGACCCTCTCACAGTAATTGATGGCTCCACTTCTGCGGGATCACCTTGGGCATTCGTGCGCAAGGAGAATGAGATCCTCTATTTGGTGCCGATCTCCTCAATGTAAGCACTTCAGTCTGAGAAATGTGATGACGACTCAGAAGTATTCCAAGCCCATCAAATATTTTGATTGCACCAGTTGGTGAGTTATCCCGCATGCTCGGTCAGGGGCCCCATTCATCAGCTCTGCTTGCCAAGTCCTCCCTCCGCTTCCCATAGCTCCTTCTTCTCCCCAAGCACCTCCCCCTCCCCAAAACTGGCCAGGAACCAAAGAACGACGCATCTAACTCCGCGTCCCAAAAGAGTATTGAGCGGATTAAAGTGTGCACTCTGGAATCAAGATGTAAGACATTTATGGGCCTAAAAGGAGCCAAAATGTTATGAAAAGATCTACTAGAAGCAATTCATTCCAAAACCTCCTATCTAAAAGTGCAGGTCCCTTAATGATTCATCCGAGAGCCGGAAAAAATATTTTCTTGTTTTCTATCGTTTGAGTGGAGGTTTTTTTGGCACCAACGTCAGTGTTCAGTTATTAATGCAATGCTTTTACTTGCCCTGCCAGAGAGAGAGAGATGGTCTTGGCTGAGGGGTAGCAACTCTCATTGGTCCCACCCAATTTCAATGGCAAGAGGGGATAAGCCACCTTTCCTACTTAAGGCATCCTGTCTCTTAGTCAAGTAATCCCGTTCAGTTTACTATCCTAGGAGCAATTGGCTAAGCTACAAAAACTCTTTCCTCAATTTCACTACAAAATTAAATCCATGTGTGTGCGGTGGTGAGGCTTCCCTTGAGACAAGGCTGAACATGCCTAGAAACTATACTCTTGTAGTCCAGGAAATAGGTGGCATTAAAAAATAGGTAAGATCTTCTGAGTGAGGTAGAAGGATAGTTCAGAATTTCATAGAACTGTAATATAGAAATATCGGAAAGGATCATCCTAAGGACCTGGGACTCCAGTCCAGGAAGACATTACTACAGCTGGCCCTGTGGTCCCTCTTTAAATCCCTCTATCAACTCTCAAGGCGAGTTCCACTCTGCCCAGATAAACTGAAACCCTTGTCATTTAACTCCACTCTTCCTTCTTCCATCTTCTGGGAAAACACCACGTTGTTTCAACATAACTCAGTCCAGCACTTTACTTGAAGAGAGTGATCAGGCCATGCAGTCTTCGCCTGGATCTAATATTATAGGTGTACCTGACCCATAAAGAATTCAAAGGAACATTGATTTTTTCTTAATTTTGACTAGAACTTCATGTGATATTTCAGCTGCATCACCCTGTTAAATATAGTTGGTAAATATAAAACTTTAAAAAATAAAGTTGCTATTAACTGAATAAAGTTGGATGTTGACTATGTATGACACAATTTGTTGGAATAAATAATTAAATCCAGCAAGGTTTTTCTTAAAGACTAGATGGGTTCATAAATCTGGACTCAATTCAAGGTGCTGGGTGCCGCCCTTAAAGTCCTCCATGGGTCAGACCCACAATATTCATTTCTTGATCTTATGTAGGTGATATATAAAGCTGTATGGTTTCTTTTGCATTGTTTTCATCCTGACATTAGTTTGCTTAGAATAAGTTCTGATTGGAGTAGCCTCATTGAGGGAGGGAAGGAGGGAAGGGGGGAGGGGAAGGGAAAGGCACAAGCTTCATCCAGAAGAAGAAGAAATACCTTGAAAATGGGAACCATTGAGGGCAATGGTAGCAGGCATAGAATATTAAGAATGGGAGCAGGGCTACAACTCAAGAGCATGAATGTCAGGGATAAAAGATTGTCTTATCTCTTCATCATTAAGTGATGTAGTTTCAACTAATTTGTAGAATACCGAGTTGAGGAAAGTTGAGTTAGATAAACCAACAGGATGATATAACATAAGGCAAGTTTGTACCTTTGTAGCTCTCTGTTCCTCTAATATTTTTTACTAACAAACTTACCAACCTTTTCTTTCCCATCCCTCCCTTCAAGCCGTCAAAAGCTCAGATGCAGCTGCTCAAATCAGCATCTACTGTATATATCAAGCTTAAAAAGTGACACCTTGTGCATCGTGACATTATCGTCCAAATTGTGCAGTGATGTATTTGTGTCATGACTTCTGATAAAGTTGTCAAGTACAAAAATTCTACCATTTTGGTGATGACATCATCACATTTTTTCCTTGCTTCCCCCGTCTCATTTTTATTCTTTTCCATACAGAGAGAAAAAGCAGAAACAATGCGTACAAGAAAGCTTTTAGTAACTCATTCCAACTTGTTTTTCTAGGAAATATTCAAAAACTCAATCTATTATCCGTGGCCTGAAATAGACAAGTCCCAGGAGTGTCCTGTGATTTTACTAAATGTGTAAATGAGTCTTAAGAAAGAAAAGAGAATAGTATATTTTAAGGTCCTTAAAAAAAGAACTAGAAGGAAAATGAATAACATTGCAGATCCTTTGCCCCTAACCACATAGATAAATACAATTATGCTGTAATTCAGCAAAGCACTTGATTTATCTATTGAAGTTGATTCCAATCCGCAAAATCATTGTACCAAAATAGTTTTGCTAGTCTTTGAGATTTTAAAAGAGGTTTTGTTGGTTTGGTTTCTTTTCATCCTATAATCTTTAATCTGAAACTTTTCTTTTGACGGGTGTATTTTATGTTCCCCCTCATGTTCCTCCCTTGGCTCTTTAAGGTGCACCAGAACCTTTGGTGAGTTCTTCCCATCCAAGAGTCTTTCATCTGCCCCTTTCAGTTTGACCCATGGATTCTTTGTGGGCTTTTCCCTCTTTTTTCCTTAGCTGTTTACTTCATAAGCATCTCTAGACAGTCTTTCCTTTCACAAGCCTTTGCCTACGAGGGGCCTGAAAAATGATTATGTGTGTGTGTGTGTGTGTCTGTGTCTGTGTGTCTTACTGACACACAGGGATAAACTGAATTCCTGGCAATAAATGTCATCTCAAATACGGCAATCCCAAATTTACCTACAGCCCACTGATTCTTCTTTTGTTTTTGTGTGTATGTGCTTGTATAATCCAGACGAGAAGTTTTTGGAAGACTCACCTGCGTGTCTGATATTTCTTTCCCTTTGCTTCAAAGCAGAGAGTTCAGAGGTGCCAAAATGTTCTTGGGCCCCGTGGATGAACTAGAATGCCCTTTGGAAGCCCTCACAGATGCACACCACAAAGACATCCACAGACACACACACCACACCACAAAGAAGTGGCGGGACTGAAGCTGTCACTCCCTTGTTCGGTTGTTGAGAAGACTAAAGATCTAGAGATAGACAGAGATATATAATCAGTTGGAAGTCAACCTTCTGCCTTGGAAAACTTTGGTGACTCTCTCTCTCTCTCTCTCTCTCACACACACACACACACAGACACACACACACACACACACACACAAACACAAAAATCAACCCGTTCCACTGCTTAATGTCCCTTAGAGCAGGAAACTGTTCTTCCTTATGTTGAGTGTGGCTCTCCCTCCTTAAATGCCGGGAGAATGAATCCAGTGGCTCCGCCCTGTGAGAGCCCTCCCTGAAAGGACGGAAGGCTGTTTTTGTGCCTTCTCTTCTAAGATGGACAGGGCCAATTCTTCCCACTGCCCTTCATAGGATTCGCCTCCAAGCCCCTCGCCTGCTTTGCTGCTCTGCTCTTCATTCTTGCCTTGTGACGGTGGAGGAAGGGACGGAGGTGTGACGGGATCACACCTGCAAGAGTGGGACCACGACTTCCCCAGGGCTCAGCGTCATTCCTCCCTTGTTGCAGCCTGAAGGGGCTGAGGGCGTCCCTCTTCATGCCTCCCATCCTCTTCAATGACCCCCAAAGAGCATCTGGGCATTTCGCTTTATTGGAGTTTTGCCCCCTGTGTATTTTTCAAATTCGTGTGTAAAAATTGGTCCATTGCAAGGGGGTTTCCTTTCAGTGACCCACTGAGTTTCTGTGGGTGAGAATAGACTAGAACTCGGGTCTCCCCAGTTCCCGTTCACCTTCCGTTGCCCTTGCCCAACCTTGGGTCTCAAAACCAGGATTGGCCTAGAAATAAAGGCATTCCTTTCTAATACAGACACATTAGTGCAATTGTGTAGATATCAAAAAGTCTGTAAAAAGAGTTTGAAGACACATCCAACCTCACTGATGAGGAAAGCAAGAGAACAAGGATGGCTTCATAGGCGCTTAAAAGACGCTTGGCAGAAACACGCAAGAAAAGAGGTTTCACAGAGGCTTCAAAAGAAAGAGAAAGGCGCCTCTCGGTCCACAAGGCAGCAATTCACCAAGTTTTATGAAGCCATCCTTCCTTTGTTATCTAGTACATTATACATCCAATGAGAAAGGAAAGGAAAGAAAAAGAAGATCAGCCGTCTGGTGGCTTAGAAATGAATGCACAAAAGGTTTTATAAGTTATACATCTCCAGTAATCAGTCTGCTTGGCTCAATCATTTGCTTCTCCCTTCTTCTTCTTCTTCTCAACAGGACAACATTTTCAAGCTGGAAGATTCACATTTTGAAAATGGCAGAGGAAAAAGCCCATATGACCCCAAACTTCTGACAGCTTCTCTTCTAATAGGTATGTAGTGTAAAGTGGTCTTAAACACACACACACACACACACACACACACACACACACACACACAACATTTCTACCTCTGTTCCTTCAAATTATTGGGCCTGGTCGGTGCAAGACGGCTGTGCTCTGATTCAAATTTCAGATTTGGGGACAGGACAAATGAGTTTGATTTGCATCCAAGATCTGAAGACAAACCAGATCATTGGATCAGCCCCTTCAAGGCCAGAGGTTGGGTTTTTTTTAAAAAAGAAAGAAGCCTTTATGTTACGTGCATATATTGGAGAGTAAATGGATGCCTAGAGGCTGGTCCCTACTCAACTGCCTTTGGATTGAATGGGGTGGGAAGGGCAGGGACAATGGGGGATCTTATGCGGGGCCCCAAGAGGAGCCGGTTTCCTGGGCTTGAGGCCTCTCGGAAAGAGCCGGGCTGCCTGGGGCTGCCAATTGAAGCCCCTCCCATCGGAGCAATGGGTTGTCTCTGCAGATGAGGGGGCATTTCTTATAACGAGGGTGCAAATCTTCTCCTCTGTTTGAATCAATGGGTGAGCAGCAATCCTGCAGAGCTTTGGGGCTCCCAGAGACCCTTTCAGGCAATGCAATGTTTACAAACCCAATCCTAGAGCATCCTAAGTACACCCCCCCCCCCAAAAAAATAATTCTTTGGCATTTCTTGGATTGCTCTCAATACGAAAAATATAGAATCTATTTGGAGGGAGGGGCTTATATTTTTCCCGCTCCAACTAAGTCAATGCTCTTTCCTCAAAGTTTCAGGCTTTCTCTTTAGACGAGAGCGTGGGGTAACTTACAGGAGAAAATCATGCTGAGGGCTTCAATACTAACTGGCAGCTACTTCACATCCTCCCTGCCTCTGTCATAGTTGCCTCCAACTTCACAGTAACAGAAAACTATCTTTTCAATCAGAAAAGGAGGCTTGGAAATTCTACCAGTCCTCAGCCTAGAGCTTCAGTTTAGTTATTTTATGGCCGTGTTCTTTCAAGCCCACCTATGTGGCAGCCCCTACCCAAAGTTGGCTGATCTTGAAAAGCTAAGCAGGGTCAGAACCGGTTGCTACCTGGATGGGAACCTTCAGAAAGTCTTACACCTTGAACTGGATCAGTCATTCCTGTTGCTAAGACAAGGTGGCCCTTCGACACCCATCAGCGGCCCCCTCCCTGCCTTGCCGGCTTCCTTGCAAACCACCTGCAATTTACAAATTCCTGCTGGCCTCTGGGGAGCCGGAAGGCTGTTGCCTCAGAATAACAGAGTGGGCAGGACCTTGGAGGTCTTCTAGTCCAGCCCCCTGCTCGAGCAGGAGACCCTATACCATTTCAATCTCTTGCCCAATCTCTTCTTAAAAACCTCCAGTGTTGGAGCCCCCACAACCTCTGCAGGCAAGCCATTCCTCACAACCCTGGGGTTCGTTTAACAACAGCAACCAAGATTTCAAGAACTGCTGTCAGTAAATGATGCCAAATGATGCCACTATGCTTTATGATTGCATCCCTGAACAATGGAAATTGTTGTCATAAGTCAAGGGCTGCCTGCAATCCAAGTCCCTGCTCAGAGCGGCAAAGAGAAAATTTCTTTTCAGGCTGATCTAAGCCCGTGAGACTCCTTGGGTTTCTGCCCCCTTTCTTCCTTTCTGTCTATAGGGGTCTTGATTGCGTTCAGGCTGGGAAGGCCGGTCTAGAACCCATCAAAGTAAAAATGGGAGAGAGCAGCTAGTGCCAACCAGTACGATGTTACCATGAAAGCCCAGGAACTTCAGAAATGATTCATAGTTATTTAAGCATCGGGAAGAAAGTGGAAGTATCTCTCCTCCAGATGTTATTTGAAAGATGAAAAGCATTTCAGGCTTGTTTTTTTTTACTATAGCACTTAAGAAAAGGAAATAATTCTGTGTTTTAACAAATCCTTCATGCTTTTAAAAGCAGCACTGGGGGAGCATGGAGTAGACCGCCTCCCTTTGGAAATTGAAGTGATTAGTGGGAACTGCCCAGAGGGCGCTTTTTAAAATGCATCCCTTCACTTTGCAGTAACTTGCACCTTGAATTTACTCTAGGTAGGAGGGGGGAAGTCCTTAAAAGACAGGTGTATAATTGAGCGCCTGGAGCAGAAAACATTTGTGGTGGAGTTTCTTGGGCAAGATTGACTTTGAACAAAAACTAGGATGGCAAAATCAGCACAAAGCCCCTTATGGCATCTTGCCATGTGAAGTGAGGAGAGTTTAGCTTTTCATCGGCACTGAGACTAATGGGGGAGCAGTCTGGCTCCCTGGCCTTTTGCTTTAATTTAAAAAAAAACCCTAGAAATATTTCCCTCTTTTTTTAAAAAAAAAAGGGGGGGGGCAAAGAGTTATGAGGAAGAGACAAAGATGAAGAATCTTAACAAAAAACATCCGTCCTAAACCTCGACAACTTGAAGAGGTGTGGACTTCAAGTCCCAGAATTCCCCAGCCAGCAATCTTGGGGTCCATTCTGAAGTTCATTAGAATCATAGTTTGAGTTATCAACGCCTCCCTTTGGCACGACCGGCCTCAGGGAACAGCTGGACCGGCTTCCGCCGAGGTTTATTGGCTTTTAAATTCATGAGAAGAAAATCACTGATTTGTTCCCTGCAGTCTTTTCAAAATCTATAATAGGCAGACGTATTTTGAAAAATATGTTATAATTAGTGCAGTTGTAATCCTTTTATTTAATTCAAAATATCTGTTCCTCGGTGCACTTGCAACTGATTTTCATTCTTTTCAACCGTGCTATTAAAATGCCAGTTTGGGATGAGAAATAAATAGCTCGGAGGGCTTGTTTAGCTGACGCTTATTATTAATGGGCCACGGGAGGCACAACTGCTGTTTGCATGCCAATGTCTAGCTTTGCATTTTCCAATAAAACCTTCAAAACGCTCCGATCCAGCCACAGGCGAAGGATCTACCTAGGAAACTCTGGCCAGAATCCGAATAGACCGTATGTAAACTCTGTGCTCATTAATGTGGCCTTAAGAGCTTTAGGGCTGAATGTGGGATGCTTTTTATTTCTTTCCAGCCATTCATTTGGGTTATTGGGAACAAAGATCCATAGGAATGGCCCAGTTCGGGTCTTGGCCGAGTCAAGCACCATTTGGGACTTTTGAGTCCCATAAAACTATATAAAAAGAGAAGAGGGAGACTGAGGTCTCTTCCTAATCTGGGTGTCCTCCAGTCAAATGGATTCCCAGAATTCCCCCAGCCTGCGTGGCCATTGTTAAGAATTCTGGGAGTTGAAGTCCACCCATCTGGAAACAGGCACCCACGACATGGAAGGCTGCCCCGGATCGGCCCCTTTCCCTGCCCCCCCCCCTACGGCTAGAGGGCTGCTGCCTCCTGCTCTTCCTGAGAGAAAGGAAGCCAATGAACAACCGAGAGGCCACAGGGAAGCTCTCTGTTTCCTCTGCTGAATCCGGGGGGGGGAGCGATAGATAGTTGCCTGCAAATGATGGGGCCACCTCCTTCAAACTCCCCACCTTCCCCACGGCCAACAAGGGTTACACTAATATCGAAGAAATGGTGGGACAGGACCTTTAAAGAAAGGATGGCAAAGGAGGGACAGAAGGAAACGTGAATGACCCCAAAAACAGCCAGTTGACCATGAGACGTTGGCCGTAGCTAGTTGTCCCACTCCATGGTCAGAGAACCCTGGGAAACCCTGCTCAGATGGTAGTTTTTACACACACACACACACACACACACACACACCACCAGTGACCTCCCCCCCCCCCTTTTGACAAGTGTGAAACAAAAGCCGTCTTCTTGACTTTCCCTTGATTGATATTGATTTATCCCAAATCTCTTGAGGGAGGCTGACAGGCAAATGGCAGCAAAGTTAAATAAAGGCCAAGAGGGGCCTGGGGGGCATTTGCCGGAGCTCCCCACTTAATAAGGGCTACAATTAAGTGGCGGCCTCTCCTTTCAAAAATATAAAGTGGCAGAGAGACAAAAATGATGAATTGGGAGTGAAATGCAAAACTTCCACTCAGATGTGATCATCTTCTGGCAGAAAGTCCTCCAGATCGGCCTCCGATCTCCTTGTTCTTCATATTGCGTGATCATGATTTCTCCTCTCCTGACTTCTAGGATTTTGCAGACTGTCTGAAAATCATGTTTTGATCGTGTGGGGAGAAGGCAGCTTGCTCAGACATGGTAGCCACACCAACCTCTGAAGCTGGCGCAGAAAGCACCAGCTTCTCTTGGAGTCGGTGTGCTTGTTGGTTCAACCAAATCACATAAAATCCTCTCTAGGCCATTCATTATGACCACGAAAAGCGGAATACCGGGACTGCAATAGGCTGTTAACTCACTTCACAATTTATATTGTGAAAGCAGATACGCACAAACACACAGACACAACCCTACTCTATCCTTCTGTAACGCACCAGGAAGTCTCCAAAGTCAAAACAAATGAACCAACTCCGGGTCTAGTTTATTTCCTCCCTTTGCTTTGTGGTGGGGGGAGACAAAGAGGAGGACATGCATTTGCTTGCTACATTAATATAAATATGTGTTCTTTGCTCTATAAATGTGAGGTTTCTAAAGTCACAGCGGATATGGCCGAGTCCCTCTCTCCATCTCTAAAGGGGCATTTTTGCCAGTCTAGCGAGTGCCGTGTTTTTGCCCCCGGCTGAAGCGTTCAGTGGCAAAGCCAAAGTCTCAGCCCGGGAAGCCCCCCTTGCTGTGCCCTGAGAAACGGTCGCGGGAGGCTTTCTCCTTGGCTGATTCTGACCTGCTGCAATTCCATGAAACGTTACAGATGGTGAGCTTTACTCAGGAACAGCGGCCGACTTTATGGGGAGAGATTTTGCCATCTTCCGCACTCTGGGCCAGCACCACCCGATCCGGACCGAGCAGCACGATTCCCGGTGGCTCAACGGTAAGCCTCCTTTTTCCTCTCTATTTCCTTCATGATCAGCAGATTCTAGCACTATTGGCTTCCTTTTGGCACCAAGGGCTGCACAAAAGCAGTCAATGAAGTTAACGGGAGTCGCATTACCTCGATGGAGATCACGGCCTCCGTATTAATTGTAGGGCTGTTTCTGGTGCCGGAGGGCGCCTGAGCACCATTGCTATTGACCTTGGCTTTGGTCTTAGAAGTTGGCCTGGTAACTGGAAATAGACTTGGTATGAGCTGGTTTCCCTGCCCTCCTCCATTGTGAGACCAAAAGCTGGCTTATATTTTGCACAAACTTTCACTGACATGCAAAGTCTGGCTCAGTCCCATCTGTCCATTTCTTCTTCAGCCAGAAGGAATTTTCGTCTACTTGGAAGGGGTCCATTTCTCTCTTGAGGTTGTTGAGGAAGCGTATTTGTATGCAGGATGGAGGAAGGGACTTCCATGTCCTCCCAAGAGAGGCGTTTCCAGGGGCAAATCTGATCTCATTTGTGGCAGTTGGGTTACAGGTCACGTCCAGCCAAAAGGGAGGAGAGAAAGGAGAGAAACTCTCCCCATGATTCTGCTCCAGCCTAAGCATAGAGGGGACTTCAGTTTCAAAATTCAATGCAGGAGAATTAGTCAGATCTTTTCTTTGGAAGGCAAGTCGATGATGCTCCAGGATCGGAAGGGAAGGGGCTGCTAAGCTCCAGAGCTCTGCTGGGTCTCCCACCCAGAGCCTGAAACTGCGGCTGGAGAATCCCTCTCCATTCATAGATTTCCTTTCCTTTCTACTTGCTTTCATGCCTCCCTTTCCCCTCCAGTTCCCTCCTTCAGGCACCCCGGGAAGGTCAGGTGTTGAAGGGTGGCATCCACAGGAGTTTTATTTTTTTTAAAAAAACACCAGCTGGCAATTATGGCCACACAGTTGCAGCCAACATTTTGATTATTCTTGCTCTCTCTCCCTCTCTCTACACACACACACACACACACAAACAAACAAACAAACAAACATAAGTAAAATAAATGAAGGTTGCAAGAGAGTTTTTATGTCTTGTGGGAGCTGCCATCTCTATTCTGACATTTTTATTACCTTTTGCAAGGTAAGGTTTGATCTTTTTCGTTCTAAACATGTGGATTTTATCTGCTTTAAGCCACATCTTTATGTGTGGTTTCATCTGGGCACCTTTGGGTTTCTCAAAAGTTCCAGCTGACAGTCTTTAAAGTATAAACGCCACGTCTATGAAAATCCTTTGCGGTTGTGTGGTTACAAGGAAAGTCTGCAATAGTTGTTGTTGTTGTTGTTTTACAAACTGAAGGAAGCTGGGAAGCCTTTTAATTAAATCAGCACCTTGAGCCAGACAACGTAGCTCTCTGACTGGGAGTCCCGTAAGTGCTAATGTAATATAAATAACAACGCGGTGAATCTCTGCCAAACATTTGCTTCTGCTTGGTGTCTGAATAAGGGCAGTTCTGGGCAGCTTTGTGTGTATGTGAATTCTAGGAATTCCCTACCATAGGCAGGGGGTTGGACTAGAAGACCTCCAAGGTCCCTTCCAACTCTGCTATTGTATTGTATTGCATTTTGGGATTTAGCTTGGTCTTGGGTGGTCCATCAACCATGCGTTGTGAGATTAAGGACTTTATATTGTATTGTCTGACTACTAGTTGGTACTACAAGGACCTTCCTTGCTAGTCTGTCCTACTTGGTGCCTGCTAGAGTTCTTACACTGCATGTTGTAGAGGAGTCTTGGTTTTTCTTCTTGGGCTGCTCGGTCTTTTGATTTACTTAAGATATTTTGGAGGGTTTCAGTTGGTTTGCGTGCTTCACTGATGCCATGTGGTTGCAATTTGTCAGAGTTTGTTGCATAAATTCAACTCCAGAAAGCACGTACAGATAACTGATTCAGCTGGATTCATTAACTTCTTTATATACATAATAACAGATGAATCAATGTACAATACCAACAGGTGGTTCTTCCAAGTAAACACAAGGCAGGAGAGTTACAGGCAATCACAAGCAGTTGGTTTCATTTCAGCAGACAAGCCCAGGCAGACTGCTAGTTTACTTCTCAGAGCAGCAGACAGCTTAGGTTTCTGTTTCAATTCTCTGCACAGACTCAGATCTGTTTAAGCTCCCATTNACAGGTGGTTCTTCCAAGTAAACACAAGGCAGGAGAGTTACAGGCAATCACAAGCAGTTGGTTTCATTTCAGCAGACAAGCCCAGGCAGACTGCTAGTTTACTTCTCAGACCAGCAGACAGCTTAAGTTTCTGTTTCAATTCTCTGCACAGACTCAGATCTGTTTAAGCTCCCATTGACTGACTTAGTTGCTATGTCTATTCATTGGCTGACCTGGTTCCCATGCCTCTCCCAGTCATGAATATTTTAACACAATTGTGTCATCCTTTTCATCACTTGTGTTGGTTGTGCTGTGGTGGGCTGAGTGGTCAACATTTTCTAATAAAATTGTACAGGTATCCTTTTATTTGTTTATTTATTTATTATGAGTGATGTTGTAAAGCTGGTCTGTCTATTCCTGCTGCAGTGTCTTTGTGGTCATCTGAATAATGTTCTCACGAGGCTTCCGTGATGGGAGGTTGGGTTGCCGCTTCCATGCTGGAACAGAGAAATTTTGTCACAACAGTTTTTCCGCCATGGAGAATCCCTACAAGGCACGAATCAAATCAGCACCAATTTTTAAAGCTATTTGAAAACTGCCTTATTTTAAAAACTTTAACCTATGGAAGTCAGCCACGTAGACAATACTATCACTATCACCCCGTGTGTGTCCCTAAGTACCTGTGTTTGCGTGTGAAAAGAAAATAGGTGGCCACTCTGAAATCCCCGGTCTGGAAATCCCCGTGGCCTTCAGTGGCAAACAAGTGGCCATAAAATTGCAATTCTAACATAGCTCCAGGCTTTGGTTGCTGTTGCAAGGTTTAATAAAAGGAAGATCCCCACTTGCTCAAATATCCACCTGCTACATTAAATTAATTATGAAAATAATTCCATACATCATTCATTCTGCAAGTGCAGCTAAAGGTGTACGTTTGTTTTGTTTTTAAGGGGCAACAAACTTCCTATTCCATTTGTGTAGTTGGAAAGCCCCCCAATCTTTTGCAGGCTGTGCATGTGCTCCCCTAACCCTCCTCTGTGCAAATCCACCCGGAGTGTTATCTTGATTGGCAAGAAGATCAAACGCTCCTATGAGGGTCCCATGCAGGAGATCAGAGGAGGGGAATGGAAAGATCAGGAGTCGGATAGAAAACACCCACAGGAAGCGATAGGAATAAGAGATGGGAGTGGGCAGGCAAATAAAGTCAGCTTTAAAAAGTTGAAATGCCGTCTAAGAGAAAGATGGGAGGGGGACGGGAGGGGAGATCCGTATCTCTAGGCTTTTCCATTATGATCTGAAGGGGCTGGGAAGTTACCCATCTGCACATCACGGCCCAGGAAGTTCGGCCTCAACGGTGCTGTCAGGATTAGGCATCCGATGATTTATTTCCTTCCTTGCACAGCTTGTCTCTGTTTTGTAAAGAAAATGTATTTCCAATTACTTTAGCAGCAAGATAAATGAAGTGGAAGAGTAGAGTGTGATTACCTATCGAGAGGAATATTTCCACTTTAGAAAAATAACCCCTTCGTTTCTCCATCCCTGCAACGGAGCTGCTTTTCCCACACAGCCAAAGAATTGGGCTGCAATGGAGGCGCTTCTGTGGTTACTGCTGCTGTTGCGCAGAAATCTTCCCCATTAGTTGTGTTACCAGGGAGCTGCGATTCCTAGTTATAACTAGGTAACTATTCCTAGTTATTTCTCTCTCTCTGTTTTGCCCCCCTCCTTTTCTTTACCATCCTTACGTCTCAAATCCCCCTACCTCACCTTTAAAAAGGAGGACTCGGTCTAAGGTTGGCACGGACTGTTTCCCCTTCAACCTCTTTTCCTCGCCTCCGATGGGCCCCTGAAATGCAGAACCCCCCGGGCATCAAAATGTGCCCAGGAGGAAGAGCCGGGCAGTGGAAGTACTGAAATAAAGTTGGTAAAGAGGGGTCTTTTCCCATGGAGGATGGGAGGGAGGTTGCGAAAGGTCTCCAGTCCGCCTGACAGGCCGGCACTTCTGTGGGAGCCCCCCGGTTCCTCGCCTATAGAGAAATGGGTTGTTCCAAAGGGAACCTGTTGAAATCACCTCCCTCCCCCCTTAAGCTGGTCATCCTGGATGTAGAAGCATGGAAGGGCCAGGCTGCCCTCCACAGTGGCTTCCTCCCCTGGGGAAACGAGGGGCTAACGCACCCCAATTGAGAACACTGAGAAAACTCACCCATATTAGAGTACCTACAAATATGCGAGAGTGTTAATATTGAATGCACTAGGGAATACGCATGACGTATTTTAGTGAACTATAATTCACCTTTAAAGGAAGGTGAATTAAAGAAGAAGAAGATCACACCTGTAGGGACAGGAAGATGGATGGTGTGATCAGGCACTCAATTCTGTTTCCTTTTCTTCAGTGTAGTTCTAGCCATATTAACCCCACTTCCTATTTATTTATTCGTTTGTTTGTTTATTTGTTTATTTATTTATTTTATTGGAATCAACAATATCAATCAAGAGATCCATCCATTAATAATGGAATTGCAAGCTAAAATACTGAGGTTTATTCCTCACATTTTTACTGCTAAATTAAATTGGAAATTACACATTCTGTCGACATGAATACCAAGCAGGGCTGTCATAATTGATGCAAAAACACTGAATACCCAAAAGGATAATGAAGATTATTTTTTGTGCTCATTTCTGCCAACTGTTGTTTCTATGCTGTGATGAATTTCAGTTACATGACAAGTTAGTGTAAAAAAATAATAAAAGCAAAACAAAATCATTCAGGCAGAGCTTATTTCAAACTTTACTGTGCTGTTGATTTAATCTTCCTTTAATAGATTTTGTGTCAAATTTGTCTACACTAGCTGTGAAAATTAATTATAAGCTCCACAAAAATATATTCAATGCGATCCCAGATTTGTAGCTGTCTTTGTCTACAAAGTATTGAACGTTCAAAAGGCAGCAAGGAACAGGAAGGAAATGGGCAAAAATGAAACATTGAGAAGTAAAAAAATTGGGGTGAAGACAGGTGTAGATAGAAGCACTTCAAATACTTAGAGTTGAACCCCCAGGTGAAGAAGTGAACAGAACTTTCCAAGCATTTTCATTTTCAGTCAAGAAATTGAAATCTTCCTTCTCTAGCACCTCAGACAGACCATTAGCAATAGCAGACTTACATGCCTCTCCATGTGCTTAACAGCCATTCTCTGAGCGGTTTACTGAGTCAGCCTCTTGCTCTCCCAACAATCTGGGTCCTTATTTTACTGAACTCAGAAGGATGGAAGGCTTAGTCGACCTTGAGCCGGTCAGGATCGAACTGCTGGCTGTGGTCAGTGAGCCAGCCTGCGATACTGCGCCACCCTGGCTCATTACAAAGATTGCCAAGTTTCCCGCAAATAGCTTGTGTTTGCAGAAGCTGGGCGGCCTCCTTTTCTTATTAATTGTTTCAGATCATTTTGTTTTCTTTTTCTGTATTTTAAATTTAACAGTTGTGTTTTATTGGCATTTCTGAATTTTGAATTCTGTGTGCCTGTCTTATTGGTCTGTTTTGCGGGGTTCCTGTCTTTTCTGTGCCACGATAATCGCCTGCAGAGGTGAAGGGGGAAAGGCCAGTGCTGGGTGATGGCTTGTTGGCAAAGACAGATCCCTCTTCTCTAGTATGGGGCGCCTGTTCCGTCTTGTGTGTCCACCAGTAATTCTTAGACGACAAATGAACTATCCGGTGGTGTCCACTGAGAAACATTACCTGAACCACCAAAGCAGGGCATAGAAGCCAAATCGCCTGCAAAAGTCCAGCGAAGATCAGCTTGGCACCGGCCAAATTCTTTAAAGTTCTCTGTTCAAATCCAGGTTTCCCCTTTGCTCCTTCCTTGTTTGGATTCCTGATCTCTACGTGGCTAGAAAAGGAAATTGTCTCCTTAAAATGAAAGAGGCTGAGAAGCAGCTGAGAAGGACTGTTTTGTAAGGAATCTAATTTACTTGGAGAATTACATATAATTTCACACTTCATTTTTTTCACTTCATCGTATAATTAGTCATTACAGAGAATCAAAACTATTGTTTTCTCCTTAAGAACAAAGGCCTTGGAAACTGCTAATTATACCACAGCTCAACATTTTCGCCTTTCTTTCCTCTTAATGGGCTTTTCTGAATGTGGAGCTTTGCATTTGTCAATTTTCCAGGGAAAGATGTTCCCCCCCCCTTCTCATAAGAAGCACAGAACAAAAGAAAAGATGCTTACCTTACGTTAGAAGATGTATACAATCTCCCTTCGCTATAAATTTAGCAAGGATTTTTAGCTAATTGTACATTATGCACACTCCCCCTCACAACTACAACTGTTTGTTCCAAGCAAACAAATATGGTCTTGTTAGTTCTATTTTTGGTGTTTTGCCATTTCTAATTCAGTAGGACTTTTCTCAAGAATAAATCTGAAAATAGCTCCTGAATAGTGGAATATTTTCCTCAAGTATTTGCCTCGAGAGTATCGCCATATTACTCTGAAGAGAAATGGGGAGAAGTTTTAACAAAGATCCACTTGATCTGATCATAAGGAAAGGTAGGCAGAGGATCCGGTCAGGATTGAACTGTTGGATGGCTTTTCTGTTTGTCTTGGGGTCGCTCAGCACCTTGTCTTCTATTTTCCTCAGGGAGCCTCTAAATGGCATTTTATTTTACACCACTATTCCTTGCTTTCTTTGAAGTGAACTTTTAAAGGTCTATTAACCTTCAACTTCACATTTCCTGGAGACAATCTTTGATTTTAGTTGGATGTTTCATATTGTACTAGTTCAAGAATAGATGCAAGCTATATATTAATGTGCTTTTTAGGTTGATATTTGGATTTATTACTTCAACATTTGTTTATAGCTCTTAAATATTCACCCCGTTGGACTGAAGTAATATAAAAAACATCAGCTAATAATTTTAGAATGAATTATCTGAATTATTTCGGTGGTGACCTACAAGTTTTAGTTCCCCCTCCTGGCAGACGCTTTGCGTAAAAGAGTTTTCCCTCATTAGAATGTTTTGGGGGATCACCAGGCTGATATCTCATAGGGAGATCGATCTCATCGTAGTTTTGAGAAGAGCATTTTGTTTGCTTTTTCTTTAATCATTGCAACAGAAAAAGAATTTCTTTAGAGGCCAACAGGATACTGATGTTGGACGAGAAACTGCTGGGACCTTCTCTTTCGTGGCCTATCTGGTTATGGAGGATGGGAATTGGAGTCTAGTAGGACATTCTGCCCACCCCTGGGAAGGAAAAGGCGGCATCTGCTGGCCATCATCAGCCATCATCATCATCATCATCATCATCATCATCATCACCTCTACAGCGATAAAGAATTACGTCCTGCTTGCCTTTCCTTTTCTGTCGTGCTCCTTTCTCTCACTTTGTTGTTGTTGTTGTTGTCAGCCGAGGTCTATTTCCAGCTTCTGCCCTGAGTTCAGAGGCCGGTTGAGGCTGGGAAAACTGGGCAGCCTCTTCTCTTAAAAGCAACTGGTGGCTTCGTCCTCCTTTGATCAGGCTCAGTCACATTGGAGTAGGGCTGGTGTTGCTTTAAAAAACCGTCTTTATTGTTTCTAGCAGATTGAAACTCGGGAGGGGAAAAGGTTTGCCAACTCTGCAGTTTTAACATTGTTTCATTGTGGTGGTTCTTTTTTAATACGTATAAATCAATTGTCTTCTCTGCAGTCTGGTGTGGTTGATGAAGGCAGATGTATAATCGGCAGGTCAAAGGGGACTTTTTACTCCTGCTGTAACCGACTTTCGTAACTTGTTGTACAAATCACACACACACACACACACACACACACACAAACACAGGACATAACAAGAGCAAGATTAAAGTTGCTGGAAACAGAGCAGAAGTGGGATTCCCATCCCCACAAATAATCCGATTAGCCACGCAGGGAAAAGAGAGGCCTGATGAAAGAGAAGTCCAGAAAAAGAAAGAAATGTTGTTGATTTTAGCCTTATTTAACTTTTTTATTTGACGTTGTAATGACTAAAGTTTTATGTTATTTATAACATTTCGATTTTGTGGTTTTATTTAGCTGGCTTTTGCTTTTGTGATCTTGTGAAAGGGGTACAAAAGAAACTGGGCCATAAACAACCAACTAAGCCCTTTTCACGATGGAGAATGTTCTTAAAAGTCCCTGAAAGGCACAAAACAATCTTTTCCACAAACCACATGCCACAACTTTGCTTAGAACATGCAACAGCCCGTCAAGATCAAACAGAAGAGACCTCAGAGGGAAAAGGGGGGCCACGAAGCTTCCCGGCTGAAACGTTCAGTACAGATTTGGCGCCAATAACTTTCTGTAAGTGCAAGAGAAAAGCCAGATCTGAGCTAAGGAGCACATCTGCTTAATAATGCGATCCTATACAGAGGTGCTCAAAAGTAAATGACTCTTCATTCTTTGCAACCCACATAAGTGATTAAACACACCTACTGAGGATGGTTTTGCAACCTATCCTGTGTTTCATTTATTTTCTTCTGTTGCACGTAAGCAGTTTCCAAGTGTTAAGTCTGTAGTTCTCATTATAAAAAGCTTTTATAAAGCCCTTGAAATGTTACCTAGTTGGGTAACAAAAACTCTGCAAGGAAACAACCAAGATCAGAGACCATCAAGAATGCCATAATTCATACTAGAAAAAAACCATACAAAGCCATGAGAATCATATTTGTATTCCTACTAGGAGAATTCAGTCCAATTTATAATAGATCCTCTTTTTTTAAAAAAAAAATCTTGTATACATAGAAGTTTTTCATCTCAATTCCTTACTGCTTAAATCATAGTCAGATTCTTCTCAGACTTAAAATTGAGCTAATGAGAAGTGAACTCCTCAAAAAGAATGTTTATTTTCCCACACACTTGAAATTGTCTTACAGTATTTGCTGTCTCTTAGGCCAGGGAAATGTAAGATCAATTTTTAGAACTGAATGTGAAGCATTGCATAGTCCTGAAAACTTCACCCATTGCTTTCCAGTTCATTTGTATCAACCGTGGGTGAAATATTGTTCAAGGATATGATGGTGACAGCTAAATCTGCAGGGCAGTAAACAAACTCCGGGAAGTTGGGCGGTGTTGGGCTTTAGTGCCTAGTGCTGGGCTTTATAGTTTGGTAATCAAGTTCTGGAGCAGAAATTTCCAGATGTTTCATCAGCTGCATCTTCTTCAGAGGCAGAGTGGTCTACAGAAACTTCTCCTCTAAACTCTGAAGCTCGGCAATGCCCAGGCGACCCCAGTCATGAACGCCCGCAGCAGTAAATTCCAGAAAACTCTAGAGCTTTTGAGAAAAGCCGTTGTGAGAAGCCTCCTCACCGGAGATTGAGAAATCCCACAGTGAGGTCCTGTGTAAAAACCCCTGATGCTACGTGCTTTGCGTTTCCTTCACAGATCCCAGGTTTATTACTGCTCATTTGATCCCTGAAAGCGACAATCCAGAAGATGACAAGATATATTTTTTCTTCCGAGAAAATGCAATCGATGGGGAGCATTCTGGGAAAGCCACACATGCCAGAATAGGACAGATCTGTAAGGTAAAAATCATGTCAGGTGAAAAAAAAAAACTCCCAGGTCTGGAATAAAGAACCCCTTTGAAATCTCACGGCCATAATGAATATATTTACTTACTTTAATATTTATTTGTTCATTCCTTTATCCGATTCATACGGTCTCCTGGTTCAATCCCTGCATTAATTCTACTCCTCTTGGCTTGATGGTAGCAAAGCCCCCGGAGAATTCCTGGGGTGAAAAGCTCCACGGTGACTTGTGCTCTGAGGTTCTTCCTGCCCTCACTCTGGGAGTGTCCCTCCAGCACAGAGCCCCCCACATGGATATTGGGTCAGGCAGAAATCAAGTCTTCCAACTGTAATTTTAGATGTCGCAATCAGGGCTGAGACAACCAGGGGGCTCTTAAAATTCTGGTGTGCAACTTTTATTTGATAGAATGACTTTGGTGGACACAGAAGCCTCGTCAACAAATGGACAACTTTTTTGAAAGCACGGTTAATGTGTTCTGTGCCGGGACCTAATGGCATCGACACCCATTTCGACGAACTCCGTAAGTGTCAGAACCTGTTCTGAATTCAGATTTATTCCCTGATCAGCTGCTGCCTATGTTTCATTATGAATTGGCCTAAGTTGCCTTTCTTTCTTCCTTTTGTTGACAGAGGATGTGTTTCTAATGAACTCGAAAGATCCTAAAAACCCAATCATCTATGCAGTATTCAGCACTTCCAGGTATGGCGTGTGCTGTCCTCCTTCTGTTTTGAGAAGCTTTCTCTGTCAGGTGGGGCTTGGAAGAAAAGGAGACATTTTCTTAAGCTTTGGACTGGGAGAATCCCGTGAATGTTGAAAAGTTAATGAACTGCCATTTTCTCATGAAAAGTCATAAAAAGAATTGTGGACAGTACAAAAGGGTTCATGAATCATAGACAGATGTTGGGTCATAGAAACTTCGCATTGTCTCTTGCTTGGGATGTTGGGAGAATGTAGTATGCTAGAAGCAGCACCAAGGCTCTTCTTGAAGCTTTCTGGGGTCGATTGGTTGTGTGGCTGAACCTGAAAGCAACCTTTCCATGTACTCAGAGCGATACGGGAAGAGGGCCATAAGGCTCACAGGCCAAAGTGAAGAAGAAATCTAGGGGGGGACGGGGGGACAGAGACCAAAGGCATAGAAGCAAGCAGGCAGACAGAAATGGGGGAAATGCTCTGTCCACGTGGATCACAGGGACATTCCTCAAACCTCCTCAATTTAGAAAAGAAAATGCCTCAACATTTTTCTTCTGCTTTTCCCCAATGCCAGCAATATCTTCAAGGGCTCGGCTGTTTGTATGTACAGCATGGCTGACGTGAGGCGGGTGTTCCTGGGTCCCTACGCTCACAGAGATGGCCCCAACTACCAGTGGGTCCCCTACCAAGGAAGGGTGCCGTACCCTCGGCCGGGAACCGTAAGTGCGCTTCCTACTGGAGAACCAGGGGCTGCCAGGAGGGGGTCTTGATGTTGAGTTGGGACGTCAGGAATAACTTGAAACAAAAGGAAGCGGGGAATTGCTCCCCTATTTAATAAATCATAGCCTTTAGGATGCCCTCTGCTTAAAGGTATGGTGATATCCTTTGGAAGGTAATAATCCCACAAATTATATATTTTCTATAAGAGATGTCCTTTTAAAAGGTCCGTGAGACTCTTGCTGTTCTCCCATTTAACAGACCCCCCACCCCTTTCTTTCGAGAATGCTGTAGGGCCAACTTTTCCAGGAAATATATTTTCTTCATGGAAAACCAGCCTGAAATTTAGGTGAAATGGGAATGCCTGTAGCTGGGCTTCCACCAGGGGTGCCATGCTCACCTGAGGTGCATCAGAATGAGGTGACAGACAGCTGACAACTTAGGTTTTAGTTTGACTCTATATAAAAAGTTAAAGGCAGATCCTCTTTTGCAGCTGAGCGTGACTGGGATAGGGTACTTTATGGAGTTAATCAGAAATTGTCCTGGCAACAATATGGAAGTGATTTGCTACTGTATTCTTCTGGGTTGCTGCTTTTGTTGTTTTTACCTCCCAGACCACTTAGTTGTGGTCTCCCTACTAAGTCCAAGACAAAGCTGCTTCCCAGTGGGAGACAGCCAAGTTCCACGGTATTCTTTGCTCACCATGAGGCTTCCGTAAGTCATTGAATATGGGAACCACTTTGACAGAGCACCTAGGCGCAAAGAGTTAAGCTCCGCTGGAGAGCTGGCCAGCAGGATAGAAAGGCTGCACGTCAACCCCATCGGTCAGTCAACAGAGGAATCCAGAACAGTTGCATCAAGTGTGGTAAACACGGAAACTGAGGTCGGGTATCAGCCAGACGGTTTTATTTTGCACATTGGGCATTGGAGGAGAACATGCCCACTTTGGGAAGTCCCATGGTGCTTTTCATTATAAATTTAGCACTTAATGAGCATCTGCTTGCTTGTAAATTTACGAAGCTGGGTCATTTAAATTATAAAATCGGGTCATTGAACAAATGAAAAAAATATTGAACATTATCCACCCGTGCTCCTGAGGGTGCCGGGTCAATACCACCTACTTCTGAATTACTTTCCTTGTTCAATCCATTTCATGTACATTCTCTGATTAATCATTATCTAATTAATGCAAGCAATCAGTGTTGCCCTCCATCTGGAAGAAAATCAGGCCTGCCTGAGGGACGGGCAGTGTGGAATTCCCTTAAGCAGAGAACGGCTGCTGGGCCCTGGAAAAGGAGCCGCCATTGTTCCCGTTGCTTAAGTGTCGAAATGGGGCACCGGGGTTTCCCAAGGAAGGGGGGCCCTCTGCGTTTCTAACCACATTTGGTCTGAAGTTCTCTCAGCTTTGATAGCCACCAATGGAGAGGAATATTGCAATGTTGCTAAAATAAACATTGAACCGATACCCAACATTTAAGAAAACACTCAGAACTGGCTTGCTAGCCTCTTCTATCTTACTGGGGTTGTTTTTTTTCTTGAGAAGACGTAGAACTTTGATTTAGAAAAAACTGTATTGTCACTTTGAATACAGACTAATCAGGATACATTAAAATGAAATTCCGTTGCATGCAGCTCTCAAAGGGTCACCACCTCCAATATACACTACATAAACATGACAAGAAATAAATAAATAAAGGAGTAAAGGGATAAATAAATAAAACTTAGGAAGGTATGTATTTGTGGGTGGTATATAGGTTGATATGTGTATGATTAACTTTCTTTCCAATGAAGTAAGTCCATGTCTGTAGTTATACTTTTTTTCTGAATTGACCCAAGATTATTATTTCATTATGAGACCAAGTTTGGTGTAGTGTTTGAGGCATCGATCTGGAAACCAGGAGGCCAGGAGTTCTAGTCAGCCGGGTGCCCTTGGGCCAATCACTCTCTTTCGGCTGAAGGAGGGGCAAACC